AAAAAATTCGAAGTGACCTTGCCCTGACCTTGACAACGCCACCCAAGGTCAAACCAATGATACCATTTTATGTCCCCCTCGAAGTCATAAAACATTTGTTTGAAACATTTTTCTCTAAAATGCACTATTCAAGAGAAATTTGAGGTTGTCATTTAAAATGGGACACCGTGTATATGCATTATATTATAAAGAATTGTTTAATTAGTCTTATAATTTAAATTTAATAATTATAACAATATAATATTAAGGATTTATAAATATAAATATTATGAGAATATACGTATCTTGATTTCTTGTAAATACATACGTGGTGAACGTTGGTGCTGTAAGAGTAAAAGGCACTTATCATGGTATTTCAGTAACGAGGCAATGTAATCGCCCACAATATCAGAAAACATTTCTAGTGGAGTCAAATTAGATTTTGGCTTCGGAAAAAGTCTCCGATCGATGATCTCTTTTGGCACTTATTAAGGAAAGTGTGTAGAATAACATATCAAAATGCATCCGCGAGATAGTGGGTGCTACTTTTTTTTATTTAACAATTTAGGTGCACAAATATGGTTTTTTGCAAATAACTTTTTAAATTCAATTTCTATCAAAAAAGTAATAATGCCATTCGAAAGAACGGGAAATTTCACGTAAGAAACGCATATGACATTTGTTTTTCTCAATTGAAATTGAACGAACAGTAATTTGTTAATTAAGGGTCCGCGCACAAAGATGGTAGCAACTGAGTCGTAGTCGTAAGTCGTTGTCGTAGGTCAACACACAAGGATTTTACGTATGTCGTTTACGTATATCCTATTGCGTCAGTTGACGCAAACAACTGGCGCAATAGGATATACGTAAACGACATACGTAAAATCCTTGTGTGTTGACCTACGACAACGACTTACGACTACGACTCAGTTGCGACCATCTTTGTGGCGGAACCTAACGCGGTAATTCTCGCTGCGTCGAGCACTCGCTGCGCTCGACAGTCGGCCCGTGCGAGCGCGCGCGCCGCACATAAGTGGCTGTAACTTTTAATAGAACGAAAAAATGACATGAAACCATTTGGATGTTAAAAAGGGTTAATTTTTGAAAGTATTACATGTATTCAAGTATTTTTTTGAACGTTGTAAGTATTATATATATCACCTTGAAATGAAGTGTACGGATTTGTGATTATTTCGTAAAATTCGATGAAATGATTGAAATGTGATAAAAAGTAGGCAAAAAAAATAAACAAATACATGGATATTATATCTAAAGGGATTATCTAAAATACGTATTTTGGCAAAAAAATTAGAAAAATTTATTTTACAAAATCTAAGCCTTCAAAGTTGGTAAATTTTCATAAATTGCATTTTTCTATTTTGTGTTCCTCACTTAGATCGTTAATAACAAAGTCTTAAAAAATTATATTGACACTTTATAGGTGGTAAATTTAAAGCTTATGATGTGTACTTTAAGATACAATGGTTTGTTTTGTGATAATGTGTTTTTTGTATTTTTTTTAAAGATAAATCAAAGAAAAAAAATTTTTAGCGAAAAAAGTTTGAAAATTTGAGTATAAATAAAGTGCTGTAAATGAAAAAAAAAATTTTTTTTAACACTCGCTGAGGTGGTTGCTATAACATAAGTCTTGAAGAATACACCTTATTCTGATTTTTTTTTTCAATTTAATAACAATTTCGATCCGGGGTAATATTTCATTAATATTTTTTCATATTAAAAATATAATACATAATAAGATACACTAATGTATTTTATGCACATGTATTGAAGAATTTGTATAAATGGACAATTTCGACTTCCAAAAAACTTGCTTCATTTGCTATGAGGACTTAGAATTTCACCCAACAGCAGAAGTGAAAGCAAGAGGATTACAGAAGTTTAGCTCTATATCTGCTAACCGAAATGATGGATTTCTCGGATTGTTGGAAAATCTACAATCAGTACAAATTCATGAAAGATGCAGATTAAATTACGTTAATAAAAAAGTTACCGACAACTGTAAAAAAATCAAGTTCGGAATCTTCGACAAGCCCAGTAAAGAAAAAATTAAGACAAAGCGATTGTTTTATGTGGAATGATTCGTGTTTTATATGTGGAGAAGAGGTCAACGAAGAAAAACAATTGAAAAGAAATATTTCTAAACGTAGAATAATAAGGCTTGTTTCTTCTTCAGATTTTAAAACCAGTATTATGACAATGATTGAAAATCGAAGAGATAATTATAATCGTGACATTCACAGACGAATATCAGCTATTCCTGATTTATTCGCAGTTAAGGCCAAATACCACAATGACTGTTATGACAAACTGAGGAAGCTTTCAGGTAATAAATAAATATTATGTTACACGTTTTGTTATTTGCGTATGATGAAGTTATGTATTATTTAAAAATTGCGTTATGTACATTTAAAAATCTACAATATTTATTACACATTGTGCAGGTCTAACTAAAATGGGACGACCTACCACACAGGTAGACGAAGCGATGGAAGTGATTTACAATTTTATGGAGAACAGTGATGACTGCCAATTCACTTTTAGTGAATTGAAAGCTACTTTACAAGAACACATTCCAAACGATAAAACCATAAAGTATAGATTAGAAGAACATTATGGAAACGATGTTATCATATCTACAAAGTCAACATCTCAAACATTAGTTTGTCTTCGTCGTTCCCATTATGACATTTTATCAGAGATGTATAAGCCAAATGCAGTTGCAGGTAATCAAGAAGAACAAAAATTGAATGCTTTGAAAGTTGCGGCAGATATAATAAGGTCCGATATACGCTTCCGAGCAATATCCAGCATCTGATAAAATGTTTGACAACTTGGATGCTTACATTCCTGAATCGTTAAAAATATTTTTAGAAGAAGTAATTTTAAAATGCAAAAAAACTAATTCCAGCTCTCATAAAATAAAATGTACATCAATAGGTCATGCAATTGTATGTGCAGTGCGTCCAAGATCATTTTTATCGTCATTACATGTCGGACTTGCTGTAACGTTTCATCGGAAATTTGGATCCAAACGAATAATAGATATTTGCAGTAATTTAGGTTTTTGTTCGTCGTATAAAGAAGCTCAATTGTCCGAAGTATCTGCAGCATTACAAACCGAAATTCAAATAAAGCCTGGAACATTTGTTCAATTTGTTTGCGACAATGCAGATTTTAATGTTGACACTCTTGATGAAAAAGGTACTTTTCACTACATGGGTTCCATTGAAATTATTATATCAGCAAGTGGAGTGAAAGCTCAAGAACTAATACAACGATTGAAATCTGTACCAACTGAAGCAGAAATAAATGAAATTGCAAGCATTCCGTTGCAAATTTATGAGAATTTCAATAGTAGTGGCTTAAAAAAAATTCAGGTAAAAATTGAAAAAGATACAAAGTTTGAGAGTAATTACATAACAAAAACCAATTTGTTGTGGATATTTGGTAAATATAATTTTAAAGACAAATTTACTGGATGGAATGGTTTCATGAAATTATTAACAAGAGATGAAGAATTTAACACATTTAAAATAGTATTCTTACCATTCATAAACGCAACTCCCACTGATTATAATACAATATATACGGCACTACTTCATACACTCCAAGAAGCGGAAAAATTTAATTTAAGAACGGCTATAGTGTTACTATGGACCAACCTCTATACA